TTTTTTTTTTTTTTTTTGGTACCAGGGATCAAACTTAAAAACTTGTGAGGCAGGCAGTGGCACCACTGAGCTAAATCCCCGGCCCTACTTAAGAAACCTTGGCAATTTTTTCAAGATATGCTTTCCTTCTAAAACTGACAAAATGGGAACTATAAGGCCTATACAACAACTAAAAGTGCTCAATAAATATTTTTTAGTAAATGGAGAGAGGAGGATCATCAAAGACACAGCAGTGACTGGTTTTACTGCTGTCAAAGTACTGTGTCACCAGGCCCTTCGATTACACGTGGGAGCCAGCAACCATGAACTAACAACATGAGCTAAAATAAACTCCTCCTCCTTAAAAACACACAACTGTATGTGCTTCCTCTAAGAATGCTATCGAGTAATATTTATTTAGTTCACGGTAAAAAATAGATAATCACAACTCTTCCAACAAGAAAATGATGCAAAGCTAAACCCTATGTACTTAAAAGATGAAAGAAAAGTCCAAAGGGTGAAAAAATATATATGAAACTAACTGGTAAAACAAAGTTATAGTTATTCATCTGCATATTTATTTTAGGCACATTGCAATAGAAGAAAATGGAGAAGGGTCAAATTTTCGGTTGTCTGTAATCGTATTTCCTCTCCAGGGGCCTAACGATGCTGTCATGAGAATACTACTTCTGATGCACCTTCTACCGCTTCCTGCTGTGCGTTTGTGAGCTGTTTCCCGCTAAGTGGTGAAAAAGACCAGTGCCCACTGGAGAGTTTCACTGAGCCCAGCTGTCTCCGGCCAATGGCGACAGAAGTCACTGAGCCGACCCTGGGACAGGAGCCATCTGTAGCAGAGTACAGCCCAGGGCGAACACATACAGCTGTATAGGTGAAGAGACAAACTGGAGCTGAAATTCAGCCTAATGCTGCAGCAACAAGCATGCCTCCTGCCAGCGAGGACTTGGATCCACTCAAAGCAAGGCACCTCCCTAACCGCAGCGCCTCAGTGCGAGCGAGCCAGAGCTGAAGGGAGATAGACGCCACTGCACACCCAGGTTCTCCACCAGCGCTCAGTGGCAGCGAGCAGATGCGCACCCTCACAGGCCACTGGGAAACTTCTGGTCCATATAACACAGACAAGAATACATGTGTGCTATTAATATATGAATTCAAAACCTCCCAAAAATGATCAACAGAAAAAAATAAAGATAGCACTAGGACAAATAGAACAAACCTTATATAAAATTTTTATAAGTTTTATATAAACCATATAGTAAAGGTTAAATAGAAGAGAATGGTGTCTTAGATTTGAAACAAAAACCTTGTACCCTAAAATCAGACATCACCTCTTAGGAAATATATTCACAGTAAAAAGCAAGCTCAGTGGAGGCCAGAAACAGAGCAGGTGCTAGCCCCTGGGTTCATCTCCACCATCCAAAAGGAAGCTTCAATCATGATCAGCCTGGGCAATATAGCAAGACCTTATCTCGAAAAAAACAAAAACAAACAGAAAATGCTGGGTGCAACTGCACACACTTGTAATCCTAGCCACAAGGCAGGCTGAGGCAGGAGAATCACAAGGCATATGTTCATTCCACGCCAGCTAGGACAATTTGGTGAGGCCCTGCCTCAAAATATAACACAGAAAAGACAGGATATAGCTCAGCAGTAGAGGACCCTTGATTCAATTCCCAGTACTATAAAACAAGCAAATAATAAAAAGCACATTGGTTTTCAAGATCAATACAAAATGATAAACATATTTGAAGGTGATTAAAATAAAGAGAAAGATGTAATACTACACTAAAATGTTCTGTAAGGTTATAAAAAATGGGGAAATATCTATAAACTCATACTTTTAATAGATATGGCTGTGTATGGCAGCACAAGGTTATAGTCCCGGATACTTTGGAGGCTGAGACAGGACTGCTCGAACCCAGGTGCCCAAGGTCAGCCCTGTTCCAAAAACAACAAAACAGCCAGGGATTTAGCTCAGTGGTTCTGCTGCCTGCCTCAAAAGTGCAAAGTCCCAAGTTCAATCCCCGGTACCAAAAAAATAAAACAAAACAAACTGTAGCTGTATAAAGCACTAGATGCTGGGTTTCATCACCAACACACACACACACACACACACGCATGCATGTGTGCAACAAATACTCTGATCTGACCAAGAAACTGGCAAAGTGTGCAAAGTCTCAGCATCCCTAAAGCTGCCGAACCGTTACAAGACATCCCACCTTTAGCAGTATCTGAACCAGCACACAGCATGGAGAAGTTTCAAACAGAAGCGCCTGGCCTGAAGGTGGAGGCGCTCACTCATCATCGGAAACGTGGCCTCAGTTACTCAAGAAGTCACCTCTCTACTTCACTCATTAACTAAAAGTCTACCCAGAAGGAACCCACGCTCTCCCCACTACTTCAGTCCCAGAAGTGGCCTGACCTTCAGAAACACCCACCAGCCTCAGGATACAGCCACCTCTACCCCGGCACCCTCCGCAACTTTCCCATTCCAAGACACAGTGGAAAGCAGAAAAACTCCACACTCTTACGACTGTAATTAATCTCTATTTAAAGGAGGCCTGGAACTTTTCAGCAGCTCCTCAGTATCTCTTCAATTACCAAGCCTAGGTCCAGGGATTTAGCTCAGTGGTGCCACTGCCTGTCTCCCAAGCGCAAGCTCCAAAACAAAGAGCAAAAAACAAAAACAGATACCAAGCACAAAGTCAGACCTACAGGTGACCTTGTATAAAGAAACAAAGCTTGTCATGAGTGGGGAAATGAAACTAACAAGGTTGTGGTTAAGAGATCCAATTAATGAAAATCCATAAATGTACAAACCTGCACAGGCAGCTCTGCAATCACCTTTCAAAAAAAAAGACCGTGCATTGTAATTTAAAGTGGAAACAATCAACAAGCAAGCAGAGAACTTTAGGACAAAAAGCTGTACAAGCTGGATCTGCTCCGTGTTACATGGTGCTGCACTTCTAATTAATTAAAATTCACAATTATCACAACCAGCAGGCCGTCATTTCCGAAGCGATGCATCACAAGGACCTACCTCAGGTGTTCGTACTTCCACACCCCTTCATCTTGGCCTTCAGGTGGTTCAAGGATTTTGTCAATATTGGAGCAGTCTGCCCTTATGTTCTGCTGAATATACTATAAACAGAGAGGTTCTCAGGATCAGAATATCACACTACAGGGTACAGCTCATGTTAAACTCTACAAGTTGTGAATATATAACTACTTCTTGTGGTTCAACTTTTAGGTTACATATTAAAAAGAAAAACAAATTTAGAAATATAATAAGTACCTCAGGAGAAAGGAAGTAATTTTGACTTATTCTCCAATTCAAATTCATAGGAGATAGGGCCGGGGATTTAGCTCAGTGGTTCCGCCGCCTGCCTCGCAAGCACAGGGACCTGAGTTCAATCCCCGGTACCAAAAAAAAAAAAATCAAATTCATAGGAGATAGAATATTTATCAGGATTGGCACTGGGATAAAAATTGCAAACCATTCTAAAATCCCAACACTCTGGGAGGCTGAAGTAGGTGAACCATAAATTCAAGCCCTGTTCAGGTGATTTAGTAACTCAGCAAAATAACATAGAAAAAAATCAGGGTTAGGTGTACAGTTCAGCATGAAGGCCCTGAGTTCAATCCCCAGTACCAGAATATAAGCACATACAAAGCCATAATTCTCATATGAGCATAAGACACTGACAATGTAAATGTAACTGTGTACATACTATATGATGAATTTGTACAAAGCGTTTAGGAACAACAAACCTACAGAAAGGGAAAATGGATTAGCAGATGCTTAGGGTGGGGAGGAGAGAAGACAGGAAGATGCTAATAGGGACAGGGTTTCTTTTAGGGTGGATGAAAGTTCCAAATGAGACTGTGCTGGTGGTTTTATAACTCTGAGTACAGAGCCACTGAGTTGTACATTTTTAAGTGGTTATTTTTATGGTATGCTAATTATATCCAGTAAAAGTTGTTCTAAAAAATGCCAAACAGAAAAACTAAGTTGAAAATGACAGAGAGGGACGTGTGCAGACAAGCAGCAAAGTGCCTGCCTAGCTCCATGGGGCTCAGGGTTCAAGTCCCCATGTGGGGGGGGGTCACTGTAATGTAAACTTCACCTTTCAGATCTCTTTATTGTTTCACCCATTCTATAATTTTGATACCCTGAAATTTGGATAGGTTAGATTTGAAGTCTTGCTTATAAAAGGTTATTGACTGTAAGTCTTTCTTCAGCCAACTGTACTTTCCCTATTTCCTTCTTGAATATGGGCAGTAGCTTACACAAATACTTTTCCACAACTGGGGACTGAGCCCAGGGGCTCCATCTATCAATAAGATATATCCCTGCCCTTTCTATTTTTTTTCTTTTTCCTTCGATATCAGGGATCGAACTCAGGACCGTGTGCTTTCTAGGCAGGCATGGCACCACTGAGCTACATCCCTGGCCCTCTATTTTTTTGAGACAGGGTTTCACTACATTGCCAAGGCTAGCCTTGAACTTATGATCCTCCTGCCTCAGCCTCCTGAGTAGCTGGGATCAGAAGTGTGTAGTACTATGGGTTCGATGAAGCTTGTAGTCCCAGCTACTTGAGACAGGATTGCTTGAACAGTAGAGTTCAAGGCCAACCTGGGCAACAAAGGAGACACCATCTCAAAATAAATAATAAATGCACTTGGGCTGGGACGTAGCTTAGAGCATGTGCTCAGTGTACCTGAGGCCCCATGTTTAACCACAGCACCGCAGAAGGAAGGAGGGACAGGAGGAGAGGACAAGACACTGAGTAAGGTTATAGTTCTGACAATCTGGGCAAAGTAAATCAAGTCCTCAGGAAGAATCATCATTCTAGATGCCCTGAAGAGCACAGGTCACATATCATTATGCATTCTTTGTGACCATTAACACGAGTATGGAAGCGGGGCAGGGCGTGGTGGTGCACTCCTGTAATCTCAGCACTCAGGAGGCTGAGACAGGAGGATCACTCTGAATTCAAGGCCCATCTGGGCTACATAGTGAGTTCAAGGCCAGCATGAACTACATATACATAGTGAGACCCTGTCTCAAAAAAAAAAAAAAAAAACCAACCAAACCAACAGGAGTTTGGAAGTCGCATGGTGAGACTCAAGAGCTTCAGTGCAGGCAGTGAGAGAACTGGAGTCAGATGCAGTCTGACCCGTACCAAGCCTGTAGGCTCAGATAACCAACAGGAGCTGCTGCTTATGCTGGGCACAGAAAGCAGTTCTTGCAAAGAAGGAAACTGCTCCTGGGAGAATGGTGCAAACCCCACATACAGGGCACAAGGGACACAGACTGCTCCTCAAACTTGGTAGCAGCGTTTGAGATGAACTCCAGCCTTCAAAGTTCTCCTATGAGCAGCCAGGCACACGCCTGTAACCTAAGCACTTAAGAGGCTGAGGCAGGAGGAGTTGAGGCCAGCCTGGGCTATATGGCAAGACTCTGTTTCAAAAACAAACAAAAAAATCTCCTGTGGGTAATGTGCACAGGGAAATCTTTCATGAAAGTCAAAATCAATCTCTCTGGAAAACTTCATGCTGGTCTTGGAGACTGAACCTAGGGTGCACTGTATCACAAGCCCTTTTTGTTTTTTTAGACAGAGTCTTGCTATGTAGTCCAGGTTAGTCTTGAACTCACTATGTATCCCCCGGCTGGCCTTTTTTTTTTTAAAGACAAGTTCTTGCTATGTAGTGTGCCTTGAATTCATGGCAAACCTCCAGCCTGAGTCTCCTAAGTGCTGGGATTATAGGAGAGTATCACCACACTCAGCATAATTATTAAATTTTGTTAAGTGAGGTTGCAACGTTTTATTAATGCCAACTTGTATAAAACCTAAAAGAAAATAAGAGGAATCTTTTTTGGTTTGTTGCCTGAGCTGAGTCCTCCACTCTGAGGCAAATAGAAACAGCGATCATTTTTATAAGATGACCTAACAGAAATACATTTCCTAAAGCGCCCCAAATATCTTTTGCCATATGAAACTTTCTGCATTGTTTCTCGGCTTCCATACTCAGCTTCTATTCACAATGGTATCTTCATCATCCTCACAAAGGTGTGAGTACTACGAAGATTTACCCATTTCTCTATCCTCTCACACATCATACGTGATGTATCCCTAACCTAGCATTAGTTTTCTCATATACAGCTCAAGAAAGAAAAATACAAAATAAAAAAGCAGCAATTAGCCCTGTCAGGAAAATATGGATTACCCTTTTGGCTGTTTGTTTTCTGCAATGGGGACTGACCCAAGAGCTACAACCCCCTGAATACACTTGAGTATCTCTTCCACATCACCCTAATGCTGCTGATTAGTAACTCAAAACACGAACAGATGTACACTGCCATGTAAACTTTTGGTGAATTTTAACACTAAGAGCTTTTCTGTTTTTTTTTTTTTTTTTTTTGTACCGGGGATTGAACTCCGGTCCTTGTGCTTACAAGGCAGGCCACCAAACCACTGAGCTAAATCCCCGGCTCCAATACTAAGAGTTTTTAAAACCAAGTAAACCAAATACCTATTACTCAAGAAACTGGTTTTGAAATCTTTAATAGATTTTAAGAAAAAAAAAAAAATCCAGAAGACAATCTCAAAAGAATAGGTCTTTATATTTTCACAAACTTTTTTCTTTTATTACTTATTTATTTTTTTGGTACCGGGGATCGAACTTGAGTCCTTGTGCTTGAGAGGCAGGCACCGGAAACCACTGAGGTAAATCTCCAGCTATTTTCACATACTTTAAAATCTTAGTTTGTTTCCTGTTTGCTCCACTGCCATGCTATACTGCCTCGGAGCCAGCCAAATATGGACTGAAATGTGAATAAAAAGAAACTTGAGTTGTGTAGTGTTGTGGGTGTTGGGGATTTTGTCCCAGCAATGAAGAAAGTAACTAAAACAGACTTTGGTACTGGAGAAGTGGGATTGTGGTTGTGACTGAAACTGACCATGTGGTTCAGAAGCCTTCAGACTGGTTTGCAGGAGGAGTTTAGAAAGACTTGGAGAAGACGGCTGGAGAAGCAGCCCTAGAATACTGTAGGTCAAGGTTAAAGGGAGATTCTGGTCAGGACTCAGAAGACAAGATTGCTATAGAAATGAAGACAGAAAAGACTAGGTTCAGGTTTCAATTGGGAACTCGGACACCACTGACAGCTGAACTTGAAAATGTATGGTATGCTCTGGTAGAACATTTGCCTACATTTTGCTCATGTTCTAAGACTGTGTGAGACTTAAATTAAGAGTACTGGACCAACTTATCCAGCAGAGGAAATTTCAAGGCAACCCAATGTTGGAACTGTGGCACAGATATTATCAGGGGCTTTTTCAGGTTTATAATGAAAACTGGGAGCCAAAAAAAAAACAGCCCATTTTGAAAGTTTTCAGCCAGGCATGGTGGCACATGCCTATAATCTGAGCACTTAAGAGGCTGAGGCAGGAAAATCACCACAAGTTCAAAGGCAGTTTGGGCTACATAGTAAGTTCAAGACCAGCCTGAGCTGTGTATCGCAGCATCTCAAAAAAACCAAAAATTTCTTTTTCAGTTTTGCCAGAAAGAAAGTTCCAGGTCAGTCTCAACTACATAATGAGACCCTGTCTCAAAAAAAATAAAAAAGGCTTGTGAGAAAGTGAGGAGTCAGGAAGGCTCCAGCCTTTGCAGGCTCAAAGTTGCAAAAATAAGATCAAGAGAGCCCCTGGGCACCATATTCAAGAGATGCCACCTAGGGAATCTGTTCCCTAGGATTCTATTCACATTGCTCAGTCACCCAGGCACTCACGGGTCACTGCAGCTATGATGTAAAAGGGTCTGGCTACTGCTCAAGTTGGCACATCCATGTGGTGCCATTTTACAGGCACGAAGAATGCAAGAGTTTGGGCTGGCGGGCAGAAAAGCTTTGACCCAGATTTTAGAAGGCCTGGGAAGCCAGGCAGTGAAGCCATGATAGGGCAGTATATAAAGTGAAGCCAAAGGTGAGTGGAGACCCTTCGGAGAAATTGCAAAGTTGGAGAAGCCAGGACCGTGTGATGCCTGAGAAAAGCCATGAGTGAGTAAAGCCAGCCCACAAGAGGCCATGCAGGCTACAACCACAGAGAATGCCATAGGGGCAGTGCTGCCCAAGCCATTTG